GCATGGCGGCGCGGGCGGCGGCGCGCAGCTGGCGGAGGGCGGCGGCCGGCGGGCGGGCGCCGGGCAGCGCCTCCAGGCTGAGCGCGCAGTGCGTGGCCGGCGAGAAGACCGGCAGTCCCGGGTGGTGAGAGGCCACAGCGAAGCCCAGCAGGCGGACGGCCCCATAGAGGCAGCGCAGGCGGCACTTGCCGGTGAAGGTCAGCGCCTGCAGGACAGAGCGGGCGGTCAGGCGGTGCGGGGCGCGGCGCGCCCGCCGCGCGGTGGGCGCTGCTCACCTGCCGCGGCTCCAGCAACAGCACGGCCGTGCCCTCCGCCGCCTCCACGGCCACCAGCCCCGGCTCGGCCGGCGGCACCATCCCGATGCGAGTGAAGGAGGCGGCGAACTCCCGCCAGGCCGCCTCCGCCCGACTCGCGCGGGCCAGGGCACGGGCCGAAGCCCGGCGGGGGCGGCTGCGCCGCGCGGGCATGACCGCCGAGCCTCCTCCGCCTCCCGGGGCCGCCCCTCGGCCGGCCCCGCCTCGCCCGGTGTGAGGCCCCGCCCGCCGCCGCCGCCCCGTTAAGAGCCGCCCGCACAGTGCGGGACCACCCCGCCATGCCGCCGCCCGCGCTGCTCCGCCTGTGCCTCTGCGCGGCTGCCGCCGCCGCCTCCTCGTTCAGCCTCCTCGGCGATCACCGCCTGGCCGGGCTGTTCCCGCTGCACACCGCGGCGCGCCGGGACGACACCAGCCTGCTCGTGCGCGGCTGCGACGAGTGAGTGCCCGCGCTGCCCGCGCCCCCAGCGCGCTCTGTCCTCCCTAACAAGCACTCTCGATTCCGTAGCGCCACCTTCAAGAACCACGGCTACTGCCTGGCCCAGGCCCTGCGCTTCGCTGTGGAGGAGATCAACAACTCCACCACGCTGCTCCCTAACGTCACTCTGGGCTATGAAATCTACGACACCTGCTCTGATTCTACCAACTTCCACGCCACGCTGTGCGCCCTGGCTCGCAAAGGCAGGCAGGATGTCCAGGTGCTCCCCAGTTTCCAACACTATGAACCCCAGGCTGTGGCCGTCATTGGCCCTGACAGCACCCGGCTGTCCCTCACCACAGCCGCTGTTCTCAGTCTCTTTCTTGTACCAGAGGTAAGTGCACCTTCTATGGCTGATGAAACCAGGGATCCCAAGGAGTGATGGTTTCAGGGAGGGTGGGCTCAGACCTGATGAGCCGGGTAGAGCTGGAAACGCAGCCCCTCTGTGTGTGCTGTCACAGGATCTTTCCTAGGCAGTCAGTGGGCTGGCTTACCATCCATCACAGCTTTCTCCTGCTTCAGCACACCTGGCACTGGGTCCACTGCCTGCCCAGCTCCAAGTCTTCCCAGGATAAGCTGCCTGTGCCATTAGCTCTCAGGGTTGCAGCTGCCTGGGACAGTGCATCCCCCTTTCCCCTGGCTCTCGTTGCAGATCAGCTACGAAGCCTCCACGGAGTTGCTGAGCCTGAAGCGGCTGTACCCCTCTTTCCTGCGCACCATCCCCAGTGACAGGCAGCAGGTGAAGGCCATCTTCTCGCTGCTGCAGCGCTTTGGCTGGACCTGGGTAGTGCTGCTGGGCAGCGATGACACCTACGGCAGGGTTGGCCTGGATGGCCTGCAGGAGCTGCTGACTGCAAGCAATGTGTGTGTGGCCTACCGAGGCACCCTCCCCGCCAATTCAGATGCCAGCAACCCGGAGCTTCACAACCTGGTCCGAATCCTCACAGATGTCAAGGTCAATGTCACTATCGTATTCTCCACCAGAGGAAGCGTTGTGCCGTTCTTTGAGGTGGTGGTCCAGAAGAACATCACAGACATGGTGTGGGTGGCCTCTGAAGACTGGTCGTTGGCTCGAGCTATCTGGCAGGTACCTGGCATCCAGACCGTCGGTTCGGTGATTGGGATGGCAGTAGAGAAGCCAGAGCTCACCATGCTGGAGCGCTTTGAGGCCTGGAAGCTGTGGGAGGAAGGCGCTGTGGCTGAGCGTGGCAGCAGTGCAGAGGCGGGCAGGGACTCTGCGGGGAGCACACGGCTGGACTGCACGCAGCGCTGCACCGGCTGCCGCGCGCTCGCCACCGCCCCTGACATGTACGATGCTCAAGGCTCCTTCAGCGTGTACTCGGCCGTGTATGCCGTGGCCCATGGCCTCCATGACCTGCTGGGCTGTGCCTCGGGGGCCTGCAGCAAAGGCACTGTCTATCCCTGGCAGGTAAGACAAACCTCGTGGAAGAAGATCCATGAGGATCCTTTCCCACAGGGAAGGATTTTTCCATTGTGCACAAAGGTCTCCAGTCTTTCCCAAAGGCTCAAATCCCAGCTGAAGACCCTTGTGGGCTTCAGCTGCCCCTCACAGACAGAGCAGCCAAGACCTAGACCTAGACTCCATCCTCTACTACCACTCCTTCACTGGATGGGATTTCCTGCAGATGTTGGGGGGCTTGAAAGCTGCTGCAGGACAGAGAAAAGCATCCTCCAGCACATCTCCCTCCAATGGCAGGAGTCGTGCCATTGGAAGGGCTCCTCTCTTACTCTTCTGTTTTACAGCTCCTACAAAAGATTAGGCAAGTAAACTTCACCCTGAACAAGAGCCGAATCTCTTTCGATGACCACGGGGACATTCATAAAGGCTTTGACATTGTCATGTGGAAGTGGCTGGGCCCAAAGTGGGCTTCTGATGTGATAGGAACATTCCGTGTGAACCCTGACAGGCTGAGCATCGACCCAGGCAAAATCCTGTGGCACACAGAAGACGGCAAGGTACTGTTCTGCACCCAGGTCTTATTTATTGCTCACTTCTGAGCTGACTGCATCCCAATGCCACCAGTTCAGGGGTGTTTCCTCATAGCAGGGCAAAACTGAGGGCCAAGGCAGTATTGGGGGGTGCCAGAGTGCTGCTGTTTGTCAGCCTGACCCTGTCTGTGCTCCCGGCAGGCTCCCAGCTCGGTGTGCTCCGAGGCCTGTAAGCCAGGAGAGATGAGGCTGCAGCAGAGCCGCCACAAATGCTGCTTCAGCTGCATGGCCTGTCCACCAGGAACCTTCCTGAACACATCAGGTCAGTACACCACACTGTCTGCTCCTGCCCATTCCTTCCCTGCCCACATCCTACCTCCTGTTCCTGTCTCACCATTCCCAGCCTCTCACAGTTTTACTGTGGTCAGTAAAACCTCTGAGCTGACCTGAAGGCAGTGGGTCTGGCTCCTGTTTGCCTACCAGTGGGTATGCAAAGCCCATGCCCTGTGCTTTCCGGGGAGTACTGCCCACAGGTGAGCCCACCGGGGCAAACAGAGCCCCTTTGCCTGTGGCCAGGGAAAGGGGATGTCTGGCCCGGTAGCTGTTCCCTGCACCGCATCCTCTGCCAGGGAAATTCAACCTAGTGGTTTCCTTTGTGCCCCAGATGGCACACGGGGCTTCCGCACTACATGATCACCAGCACCTGGCATATGGAAATGTCTCCTGCCTCAGAATCACCAGGCACAACAACAAACCCCAACAACAAACCCCTTCCTGGCAGCTAGTGCCTCGACACCCTTGGCCTTGGAGTGGGAAGGGGCAGCTTTGGGGACAGTGGGAGCAGAAAGCCCCCCTACATGGTACTGTCCCATTCAACAGCAGCTGCTGCAGATCCTTCCCAGGTTACTGTTTGATGCACGGGCCCATTCCCACCCAGAGCTCCCATGGCCCTGAGCCTCACACAGCCAAGCCCCTGTCTCAGCCCAGGCCATGGATTTTAGGAGAGTCCATGGGGCCAATTTTAGCTGGGGGGTCTCTGGGGAAAAGAGCCCCCTCTGCTACCCCAGGCCTGGGAGCGCCTGCAGGAAGGAGCAGGTGTGATGGGTGGGCAGAGCCCAGAGAGCTGCGAGCCGGGCCTGCACTGTGGCAGAGCTCTTACCGGGTCCGAGGTGTGTGAGGGGTCCATGTCCTCCACAGACCCCTTTGACTGCCAGGCCTGCGGCTTGGATGAGTGGGCCCCAGCAGGGAGCGAGGTCTGCTTCAACCGCACCACCGAGTTCCTGTCCTGGTCCGAGCCCCTCTCCTGGGTGCTGCTGGCCCTGGTTGCTCTTCTCATGCTGCTCATAGCGGCGCTGACTGTCCTGTTTGCCCTCAATGCCTCCACACCTGTGGTCAAGTCCGCGGGCGGGAACGCGTGCTTCCTCATGCTGGGCTCCCTGGCCTGCACCTGCAGCAGCCTCTTCTGCTACTTCGGGGAGCCCTCGCAGGCGGCGTGCCTGCTGCGGGTGCCGCTCTTCGCCATCAGCTTCACCGTGTTCCTCTCGTGCGTGGCGACCCGCTCCTTCCAGATCCTCTGCATCTTCAAGCTGAACGCGCGCTGCCCCGCGCTCTACGAGGCCTGGATGCAGCGCCAGGGGCCGGTGCTGTTCGTGGCCGCCAGCACGGCGGCACAAGTGGCGCTGTGCGTGGCCATCGAGGCCGCCAGCCCCTCCGTGCCGCGCCGGGAGTACGGCGTGCGGGACGAGCGGGTGGTGCTGGAGTGCGCCCAGAGCGCCGCGGCCGACGCCACCACCGCCTACACGCTGCTGCTCAGCGCCGCCTGCTTCGTGCTCACCTACGCGGGCACCGATCTGCCCGCCGCCTACAACGAGGCCAAGAGCCTCACCGTGAGCCTGCTGCTACACCTGGGCTGCTCGGCCGCCGTGCTCTGCTCGCAGGGCGCGCTGCGCGGCCAGACCGAGACGGTGGCGCGGGTGCTCAGCACGCTGGGCACGCTCGCAGCGCTGCTGGGCGGGTACTTCGTGCCGCGGGCCTTCGTCATCCTGCTGCGGCCGCACCAAAACACGGCCGAACACTTCCAGATGGTCATCCAGGAGTACACGCGCCGCCTGGCCGCCGCCTGAGCCGCGGGGCTCGGCCCGCATCGCGCCTACTCCGCCGCGGAGACCGACCCTTGGCCCCGGCCCTCCCGGCGTCACTGCCGGCGCCCGCTGACGCCACGTCCGGCGGTGGCGGATGCCGGCGGGCTCCGGTGCGCGGCCATGGCGGCGGCGGCGGCGCACAGCGTGCGGGTGCTGCGGGAGCTGAACCGGCAGCGCGCAGCTGGGCAGTTCTGCGACGCGACGCTCGGTGTGGGCGGCCGCGAGTTCCGCGCGCACTGGCCGGTGCTCGCCAGCTGCTCCCGCTTCTTCCGCGCGCGCGGCCCCGGCGGGCCCGTGGCGCTGCCCGACGGCCTCGCCGACACCTTCCAGCTGCTGCTCGACTTCTTCTACACGGGGCGTCTGGCGCTCACGGCGCACAACCGCGCCCACCTGCTGGCGGCCGCCGAGCAGCTCGGCGTGCCCGACGCCGTGGCGCTGTGCCGTGCCTTCCGCCCGCGGCCCCGCCGCGCCGCCGCCGCCGCCACCGCCCGCCCGGAGCCCGCGGCGGCCCCGCAGCCCGGCGGGCAGGCGGTGCGTGAGGGGAGCGGGAGGGGGACGGCGGGGCCGGGGCCCGGCGGGGGCGGCGCGGTGACGCCGCTGTTCCCTCGCAGGGCTCCCCCTCAGCCCCGGAGGAGGCGGCGGTGGGTGGCGGCGGGCGGGGGGACGGCGACGCCGAGCCCCTTCCCGAGGAGAAGGTGCTGCGGAGCAAAAAGAGCCCCCCCGCTCCGGGAAAGGCGCCGGGGAGCAGAAAAGGTACAGCGGTGCCGGTCGAGTGCCCCACATGCCATAAAACGTTCCTCAGCAAATATTACCTTAAAGTGCACAACAGGTAAACGCTCCGGCTTCTCCTTCCCCTTGCGTGCGGGGGGACGCGCCGTCCCCACGGCTCTGCCCCTTCCCGGGGTGGGATAAAGGGCGGCCTCGGTTCTGCCAGCTTGTCCCAACACCTCGGCATCCCCCGGGGTGCTAAAGGAGGGTCGGCTCTGCCCCTGGGGTCGCTCTGGCCTGGGGGAGGGTTATATGTCAATGAAAGACATCCCAGAGCTGCAGTGACTGTCCTGAGCTGTGGCTCAGGAAGGCCATGTGAGGGGCTCCTTGGGGGCTGTGCTAGCTGCAGGTGGGCAGTGACAAATCCTGGGCTTTGAGAATGCCCTGGGCTGGGGAACAGTTTCTGGGGTTGCTGGGGGCGCATGGCTGGGCTCTGTGAGGAGCTCCAGCGTGGATCACCCAGTGCAGGGCATGGTCCTGCAGTGAGAGCTCAAGTTTTGCTTCGCTTGTGTTGGGGAAGAATCTTGGCCCTGCAGAAATGTGGAGCGCAGTGGGCACTGACAGCTGTGCTGTTGAAGGGACTAAAAAGTGTCATAGAAGCAGCTTTTGGGCAGCTGTGAATAGAAGCACTGCTGGGGTGGGGGGAAGCACCCACCTCACCCTTCCCTGTGACCTCCTGGGCCTGTTTGTGCAGATGCTGTTGACAGGCAGTGATGGGATTCTGTATTTGCATACCCCAAGGAAACACACTGGAGAGAAGCCATTTGAGTGTTCCAAGTGTGGCAAATGTTACTTTAGAAAAGAGAATCTCCTGGAACACGAAGCCAGGAACTGCATGAACCGATCGGAACAGGTACGCCCAGGAGCTGCCCTGCTGGGCTGGAATGTGCCTGCCATGTGGCAGCAGGGGAGTTGGGGCCTTTTGCCAGTCCCAGTTCCAAACAGAACCCTGCCAGCACCATGTGGCACGTGTTCCATGGCTGGGACCCCCACAGCCAGGGTCCCCATGGCTGGGACTCACATCTCATACACAGCACAGCCCTCACTTGTGTTTCAGCACACCAGGACTCTGAACTGTATAATATTTGGCTCCTGTGGATGCGGGGTGAATGCTGTAGCTGGGCTGCAGGCTGAGCTGTGGGCTCCAGGTCAGGCTCTGGTCCTGTGGAAGCCAACACCACCCCATCTCTTACAGGTATTCACGTGCTCAGCCTGCCCAGAGGTGTTCAAACGGCGGATGGAGCTGCGGCTGCACATGGTGTCACACACTGGGGAGATGCCATACAAGGTCAGCAGGGCTCACATCCAACATCCCTATGGACACTGGCACGGAGCAAGGACAGGCCTTTCCCTTCTAGGGCAGCCCAGCCCATCAAGAGCTGAGCACACCAGTTCCCTTCTCTGGTCCATGACAGCCCACTCAGGATTGTTCCCTGTCTCTGAACCAAAACGTGATCCAGGGAGGCACCACAGCCAAAGGCTTTCCATGGCTGTACCAGGAATCTGTGTTCTACTCAGATTCTATCAGGAATCTGTTCCCTGGCAGTTGGAAGCTGACCCCATTCTCCTGTCTTGCAGTGCTCTTCCTGCTCACAGCAGTTCATGCAGAAGAAGGACCTGCAGAGCCACATGATAAAGCTGCACGGTGCCCCCAAGCCCCATGCGGTAGGGACCAGGGGTTTTGGGGAGGGTGGGATCCTGAGTGTGGACCTGGTCTAAGGAATGGCACAACATTGGCTCTGTCAGTGAGGGGTGGGGCACAGAGCTACTGGCAATGGGCTCTGTTGGGTGCAGGAGCAGCCCACAGATCCAAGCACTGACCAGCATTTCATCTCTGTTGGGCTGTCCCATCTTACTGGGTGTCTGTGAGCTGGGGGTGCTGCCTTGGCTTCCACAGGGAGGTCCCTGGAGCAGCTGGGGAAAGGCTGGGTGTGAGTGGGTCTGGGGTGGGTGTACCCCAACCCTAACACCCTCCTCTCCTGTGGCCTTGCAGTGCTCAACCTGCTCCAAGTGCTTTCTGTCCCGGACAGAGCTGCGCCTGCACGAGGCCTTCAAGCACCGTGGGGAGAAGCTGTTTGTGTGTGAGGAGTGTGGGCACAGGGCCTCGAGCCGCAACGGCCTCCAGATGCACATCAAGGCCAAGCACAGGTACAATGTCACCCGTGTCCTCTCTTATGTCACCTTAGCTCTCCTGGCTGCAGTCCCTGCCCCACAGGCCTGGGGGTTGGCTGAAAGTCACCCTTTTCACAGAGGTGCTGGGCTGAGACCCAAGGGGCTGAAGCTGGTAGAGGTGACAGTGACATTTCTCTGCCCACAGGAACGAGAGACCCTACGTGTGTGAGTTCTGCCACCACGCCTTCACACAGAAAGCCAACCTCAACATGCACCTGCGCACGCACACGGGCGAGAAGCCCTTCCAGTGCCACCTCTGCGGCAAGACCTTCCGGACACAAGGTACCCCTGGCTGTGGCTGGGGCAGGGTTAGAGCTCCAGCATCCAGGAACCCCAGACAGCAGCTTCCCCAGGAGCAAAGCCATGCTCCTGTGAGTGCAGGCTGATACCAAGAAAAGCACGTTCCTGTCACCTGCTCTGCTCTCATGGCACAGAAGGGGAACAAGCTGGTGTTGTTCATGACCCTTAGCAGGAGCAGGCTGTTTGTGCTGCTCTTGCTTTCCTGGGCAGCCTGACAGCCCCTGGGATGGGGTGCATGGGCTGTGCTTCTGAGCAGCCACTCTCCCTGTCTGCCCCTGTTAACGGCAGCGAGTCTGGACAAGCACAACCGGACGCACACGGGGGAGCGGCCGTTCAGCTGCGAGTTCTGTGAGCAGCGTTTCACGGAGAAGGGGCCGCTGCTGAGGCACGTGGCCAGCCGGCACCAGGAGGGGCGGCCCCACTTCTGCCACATCTGCGGGAAGACGTTCAAAGGTAACGTGGGGGCTCTGCAGGAGCTGCCTCCTTGCCCTGGGTGGGCTGGCATTGCTGTGAGCTGCCGTGACATGGAGCTGCTGCCAACAGGCTCTCGTTTCCCTTCCCAGCGGTAGAACAGCTGCGTGTCCATGTTCGCCGGCACAAGGGAGTGAGGAAGTTTGAGTGCATTGAGTGTGGCTACAAATTCACACGGCAGGTGAGGCCTTCCCCAGCTCCAGGGAACCCTGCTGCGTTGGGGAGCCAGCCCTCACTGGGTCTCTCCATGTTCCCCTTCCTTTGCAGGCTCACTTGAGGCGCCACATGGAGATCCACGACCGAGTGGAGAACTATAACCCTCGGCAGCGGAAGCTGCGGAACCTGATCATCGAGGATGAGAAGGATGTGATGGTGGTGCTGCAGCCACCACCAGAGCTGGAGGTGGGCTCAGCCGAGGTGATTGTGGAGTCGCTGACCCGTGGGTCGCTGCCTGAGGATGTCCCTGCACAGAAACTCTGCTCAAATGAGAACTTCTCCCCTGCGGATGTGATTGAGCAATCACTGATTATAACTACAACGATTCCTGAAGACTGTGAGACGTAGTGTGGCCACCCATCCCCTTCCACTGAAACACAGTAAAGCATTGAGCTGAGCCACTTTCTGCCACACTTGTTCTTTTAGCCTCCTCCCCTCCTTTGCTGCCAATCTCCCATCCCAGGCTGCAGGGAAAGTCACTATGATGTTGTGATTGTCAAATGAAGAAATGTCTCAGAACAGTCGCTCCAGTCAGTGTCCATGTGTGATGTGCAGTGGGATGGGACTGACCTCCCTGTGTCATACTGTGACTCACTTTCTGATGCCTGAGGAGCTGGTGCTGCCCTCCCCTTTGCTCCAGCCCTCTCACCCTGCCTGTGATTAAAGCTCACCTTCCCCCACAGAGAGCGGCTCTGCCCATTCCTTAACTCCTCTGTTTAACTGGTGCCTTCTTTCTCCTTTGTTTTGTTAAGCCTTTGTCAGTTGCTCTTTCCTTACCCCATTAAAGGCAGGGCATGACTCTTGTCTGCTCAGAACAGAACACACTCCAGCAGCACAAAGTGCCTGCGTTCCTGTGCTCAGGTGTGGGCACATACTCTGTCCCAAATAACCCAATCCAGGGTTGCTGGGAGAGTGAGAACCATGGCCTGAATGGTGCCAGGGTGGGCAGAGATCTCTGTGTGTACCCCCACACCCCAGAACTGCAGCTGTGCTCTCTCTCCTTTCTCCCTCTACTCACCAAGGAGGCAGACAGGCTCCAATTTAAGCATATCTGGAATGAGAAACTCCCAGTAAAATCTCATTCCAGCTCCCTTCCCCTCACAGAGAACAGAATTGTGTAACAAGTTTTATTTAACTTGACTGCTGCAAGTAAATTTAAAAACAAACTATGAGAATAAAAATACATTATCTGCTAATGTAAAATGCCTTTGTTTCAAAGGATGGAGTTCAACTGTACTTGAGGATTCAACACAATGAATTCTACAAAAAATAAATACAGATCTGTAGCTGCTCAGCGGGTGGGACTGGGGGTCCAGCAGCGAGCACGGCCGCGTTATTTATAGCTCAGCAGAAATGCCTGGAGCCACGGCGCCGTCAGGAATTGGCCATTGCTCCCAAAAAAAGCAGCAGCTGCCCCGAACTGCGGGCCCCTGTGCCCCCTGCTCTGTCCAGGGGTGTGACACCACGGGGCAGCCGGGCCCTGCTGGCACACCAAGGCACTGTCAGTGATCCAGGCTGGAGAACAGCCCGGGCTCCCCGTGGCTGAGGGGGGCAGCAGCATCAGACAGCATTGAGGCAAAACACGTTTCTGTAAAGCTGCGAAGATGCTGATGCTGTGGAAATGGGGCTCGGATGCTCCTCGATCCAGGGGTAAGCCTGGAGGAGAGAGATCGAGTACACGGGGTTTCCATCTCTGAATTCAGCTTAAATGCAAAGTTTTCCTCTATTAGGTAAAATTTAAAGACCAAAAAAGCAAATGCATCCAGCCACACCTTAGCTTCTGCCACACTTCAGGGCTCTCCAGAAGGTGCAGCACTTGCTCTCAGGGAGCCATGCTTCAGGTTCAGCCATTTGCTTTCTTCCAGAAACATTCCACAAGTAAACTGCACACAGCTGCTCTTCAGCAAAGGTAGATAAACAGAGCCCATTGGCCAGGGCACTTGGGCAAGTATAAAGGCAAATCTTACACAGGCCAAAATAAAACTACAAAACCAAAATAAAAAGAAGAAAAAAACCCCTAAAATAACTACCTTTCAATCCAACACGTGCACGGGAAGCCTATCTCCCTCCGAGGCACAGAATACAGGGGGGTGTCCAGACCACTGCCCTACCAGACAGACCCCTCCCAAGACAGAAACTGAAGGAAGGAGTTTGGTGGCAAATGAAGCGTTACAGGGTGAAGGAGCTCCCAGTGAAAGGTGTCTGTAAGCAGCGGTGCTGTGGCGTGGCTCACCACAAGTGCTTTCCCCAGGATCAGCTCTTGGGTCCCTGCGGGCAGCGCGGCGCCGTCTCCCACCCTGAAGGGCTGAGGGGAGCAGTGGAGGCCTCGCTGCCTGCAGGCCCACAGCATCACATCCAACAGCCAGAGTTCTCGCTCCCTCTGTGAACAGCATGGGTTTGTTTCCAAGCACTGGTTTGCCTCAGCCTTCTCCCAAAGCAGCCCAGGTTCCGCATGAGGGATTCTGTCAAGCCGCTTCCTGCGCTAAGGCAGCTCGTTGAGGTTCTGGTTGTGGAGGTTTTGGTTCTGCCTGCTCAAGCTGATGGTGTTGTCCAGCGTGATGCTGTCGTCCTCCTGTGTGGTTTCTGGCATGAACTGCCGGAAGATGCTGACGCTGCCGTGCCAGAAGATGGGCTCAGGGAGCTGGCCCACGACACTCCACGTTCGTGTCTCGGGGTCGTAGGCTTCCAGCACATCCGAGAGTTCAAAGGTGTTGTCGTAGCCTCCCGAGACATAGAGCTTCCCACCGAGCACAGCCACACTGCCCCCAACGTGAACCTGCAGTGTAACAATAAATAAATACACACTGTGACCAGGGGTGTTTGCCTGATCCAGCAAGGGGGGTGGTGGGATCTGAGAGCTGTTTCTTAGAGGGAGCTTCATGGTTGGACTCTGCACCAGTGCTGCCCACTGGGCTGCACACCCAGACATGGCCGTCACATCCAGGACTGTCTTCCCAGTGACTCCAACACACTTAAACCAGCTCCACATACAAGGGGTTCTGATTCTAAAAAGCTTTTGGTTTTCCAAAGATAAATAAAACTAATTTATAACATTTAAGACATCCTGAAAGTGGGAAAATGTCCTACCTGGAGCATGGCAGGGATTTTATCCCATTCGTTCTTTGATGGATTGTAAACATCCACTTCAGCCGAGTCATCTCTGGGGAAGAGAACACAAAATTACTCTTCTGCATTCTAGAAACGCTCCTTGGGTTCTTCATCAAAGCCAAATTTAGATGGGCAGGGGGAGAGAAGAGCTGGGGAGGCAACATAATCCCCCAGGGCTTCTCTTACCCACCCTGCTCGCAGACAGGAGGGCGACAGTGACAGGTGAGGGACGTTTGTGACTCAGAGACATGCGCTGCTGACACAAGAATGCGTGCAGGACAAGGTCAGGGCAGCTGGAGAGGAGCTGTCAGTCCTTTCAAGACAGTCTTGGTACAGATGGGATCAAGATGCTGCAAGGCAGCTCCAGGCAGGGTCAGCAGCCAGACCAGGGGCTCCTCTCCCCACTCTGGGTCAGCTTTGGGGCAACTGCAGAGAGCACCTGAACCTCACTCCTGTGCTTTATTTACAGGTATAAAACTAGTCCCAGCACTTTAGCCTGAGTTCTTAAACCAATTTGCTACTTTTACGTGCAACCCACTCCTCTGTCCTCCAAACATTATCCCACAGCTCCACACAGAGCAGCAGCCCACGCTCACACAGCACATGAGATGAGGGAAGAACACCTAACTCTGATCATCTCCTCACTGACTCTTGCAGATGCAAAGTGATCTGAAAATCCTGAAGTGCCAATCATCAGTATTTTAAAATGGGCAAGAAAACAGAAATTCTATAGAATCAGGTTGTGACAAAGAGCTGAGCAGCTGCAACACCCTGGCAGGACAGACTGAAACCAGCTGACCAGAACAGCCGCCAGCAAGACATTTGGCTGGACCCAAAAGGATCAAATAAAAAGTCTTGGGCCAAAGCTGCTACTTTATGCAAAGCCAAGAGGAGATTAAAAAAAGAGAAGTGCCTGGGGGCCATCACAGAAGTCTCTGTTTGCTCAGAGTCAACACAGGGAGATGAAATGCTCCAGCCCTAGCATGCCTTCCCGTTTATTTTTAATTAAGCGGATAACTGAAGTATTTGCGCCACCAGGACAGCTTCAGATGGGTAATTAAGTCCCAATTTGGAAAGGTGCTTAAAAATAGTGACCAATCACTTCATCTTCAGCCCTCTTATCTCTGCTGAGACGGAAGACGTCCTCTCCTGCACTAGAGTTTAACGTTTTCTTGGAGCTTATGTGCTTATTTATAGCAACGAGGGGGGCTGAACCAGGAGCTGAAGAAACCGAGAAGCCAATTTTCAAGCAGCCCTGCTGACTTCAGATGGATTTACACGTGTCTGTTCCCCAGCCCTGGGTTACACTCAGGCATTTTCACACAAGTTTATGGGCGGCTCTTTGAGACCCACCAGCACAAGGAAAGAGATGTCACAGCCCTCCCTGCACCATCAGGGGAAGCACTGCTGTGCTGTCCCAACCTGCAAAATCCACCTTCCCAGGGAAGCTGTGGGCTCTCCTCATGGGGATATGGGGAGGGAGGGAAGTGATTGCTCCCACTACTCACCGTATGAAGTACATGAGACCATTGAGCGTGACGGTCTTCGGGGCAAAGGACCAGGGGGGCAGGTGGCCACAGTTGACAAGGGACCAGAGATCACTGTCAGGGTCATAGCACTGCATGACCATGGACTCTTTGCCAGCCAGGGAGCCGATGGCGAAGAGCTTCCCTCGGCAGGAGGTGGTGGAGCAGTTGTCCATGGGATAGAGCATGGGCTGCAGGGCCTCCCAGCTGTCCAGAGTGTGGTCATAGCGCTCCGTGCTGTCAGAGGCAACCACGTAGAGCAGCCCGTCCAGGACCGTGGAGCTGTGGTATTCCCTGGCTTTCAGCATGGGCGACACCTCTGTCCACTCGTTGACGCTGGAATTGTACCTCCAGACACAGTCGTACAGCCTGGAGCCGTCCGAGCCCCCTGTGGCACAGGGTGACACGAGTCAGGAGCCGGGCTCCACAAAGGGAAGGGAGATGGAGCAGAGGGTTTGGCTTGGCACGTGTGCCACAAGGATTTTAAAGGAAGTTTTGCACTGCTTCATTCCCAGCAAGCCAGGGAGGATTTCTCCCATATCCAGCTGTGACTCAAAATGAGTCTTCCATGCTTCACTACCTTTGTCCTCTAACACCCACTTCTCTCCCATTTTACAGGCCCTGCTCTGTCACTGTCCAGAAGCTGCCAAGGCAGCTTGGGAACCTCCCAGCCTTGTCTTTGTCACACTGACACACACCAGACCAACCCAAAATCCCCAGCAGCAGCCTGTACACAGCTCCCAGCAGGACTGACCTGCCTGGGATCACTCCAGGAAGCTCCCATAGGATGTAAAAGTTTCTGTAAAAACATGCTGCATCCATGTGGTAGCTTGTCATTTTTACAACCCTGTCCTCAAAGCAGGTCCTTGTTTTCTGCTTGTGACTAGAGAACACACAGTTTTCTGTTCACCTGCATTAAGATTTGCTCTTCAAAGCTCTGCCAATGTGTCCTGCACACCGAGGGCACGCTGTTCCACAGCACTGGGTGTGCTGGGCCTCAGTTTGTTACAGCTGTCACAGAGATGTAGTTCAAAGGAGGTATCTGCATGCAGCTCAACAGCCAAATTTACATACTGGTGTCACCTTGACAGAAGTAATTGTAGCCCCAGCAAGGAGGCAGGATTTGTGCAGGGGAAGGTACTGTGAATCACAGGGGCTGGCAAAGGAACCTGGGGCTTTCTGACATGCCTCTGCCTCAAGCATGTGATTCAGGGGGCTCTGAACCTGAACACCTTCTTCAAAGAGAGAAACTCAAAACCTTCTTACATCACCCCTGTCCTCAGTGACGGTTAAAAAAATTCTAACTACAAGATCTGTGACTTCTGCCAGCATGCTCAACAGCATTAGTCATGACAAAATAGCTCCTGGACTGAGACCAGCTGCTAAATCCAGCACCGACTCCAGGAGTCTCCATGCCTGCTGGCAGGCTGCAGGCACCCAAGCCAAGTCCCAAACTCCCTGCCACCCAGGAAAAGCCAAGTGTCGCTGCTACAACCTACATATTTCCAACAGAACCCTCCACCCTGGTGCTTCCCCTCATTCCCTGGATGCCTTACCAGTGACATAGATGTCGTTGCCCAGCGCAGCGACGCTGTAGCCCCCTCCCAGGTGCTCGGGGAACTCGGCCAGGTAGCGCCAGTGGCCGGTGCGTGGGTTGTAGCAGTCGACGGTGACAAGCTCATCGCAGTCACGGTCGCAGCCACCGACGAGGACCAGGATCTCGGCGAGGCCAGTGGAGGGCCGGGGCCGCATGCGGGCACAGGGCCCGCGGTCGTGGCGGTCGAGGCGGGCAGCCTGGAAGTCGCGGGCCTCACGCAGGAGGCGCAGGCACGGAGGGCAGCGGGCCACCAGCGGCTCGCTCTCCACGTGGGCCAGCAGGTAGAAGCGGCGCACGAAGGGCAGGCGGACGTGGGCCAGGAGCTGCGGCAGCAGCGGGGCACGCGTGGCGGGGTCGGCGCGCACCCAGCGCAGCGCCAGCTGAAAGGCGGCCTCCTCCTTGGGGATGCAGAGCCCATCGTCCCGCAGGTAGGAGAGGAGGCGCGGCAGCGGCAGCCGCTCCAGCTGGGCGCCCAGCTCGCCCACGTGCCGCAGCACGAAGCGGTGGGCGGCAGCCGCCAGCTCCGGGCAGGCGAAGGCCTCCGCGAAGTCCTGCATGTCCAGGGCGTTGGCGGGCTCCAGCTGCCGCGCCAGCCAGGCACCGCACGCCTCCTTCACGGCAGGGAACTGCAGCAGGTCGGCGGCGCGCAGCAGGCGCTCGGCGATGTCGGGGCCCAGCCGCCCCACGCGGCCGGTGTAGGCGAAGTCGAGCAGCCGCCCCAGGCACTCGGGCTCGACGCCGTGCAGCCGCACACGCTCGGCCCGCGACTCGCGCAGGGCCCCGCCGAACATGGCGCGGAAATATCCCGAGGCTGCGGCCAGAACGGCGCGGTGAGCCCCGAACTCTCGCCCGCCGGCCACCACCGTCACGTCCAGCAGGCTCCGCTCGGCCCGCAGCGCGCTCAGACCCCGCAGCAGCGACACCGCGTGTGCCGGTTCTCCCGTCGCCGCCGCCGCCGTGGCTGAGGCTCCCGCTGCCGTCCCGCCGGTGCCTGTCGCCATGCCGTGCCTGCGGGAGAGCACCTGGATCACGCCCTGCGCGGAGCCGCCGGGCCGACCCCCGAGCGATTCCCGGGGCGGGAGAGGGAGGTGGAGATCAGGCAAGGAGGCGGCGGGTGGGCTCGGGGAGCGCGTCCCGACCGGGATCCCCCGAGAGCGCTCGTTGCGTAAGGCGGCGGCGCTGGCAGCGCGGCCCCGCTCAGGCCGGTCCCAGGGCCCCGCAGCTACCGCGCCCAGCCCCGCGCCCTTGGCCCTGGGCTAGCGCTCAGAGGGAGCCGCCCAATGGTACCGGGGGAACACAAGACCGTCCCGAGCGCAGACAGCGCTGAGAGAGCTCCGCTCCGAGTCCTGCTCGGGTACCGCCGTTAGCGCGGGCGGAGGGTCCGGTCGGGGTTGAGGGTCCAGCTCGTCATAGACACTTCGGCGCCTTGCCCGCCCTGCCACCGCCACCAGCCAGGCCCCGCGGTGAGCCCAGGGCCGGCCCCTACCACCCGGGCCCACAATCACCCCGATAAGAGCCACTCCCGGAGCGCACTCACCGATCCGCCCTCCGCCCTGCTCCGCACTCCGCTTCCCGCTCCGTTCACCGCTCCCGGCACCGCCCCCGCCCCTCCGCCGCTCCCAGCGCGCCCCGCGCCCGGCACTGCGCACGCCCGGACTACGGCTCCCGGCGGCCCCGCGCGGGCGGCCGCCCCTTCGCCGCCTCCCGCCGGCACCGAGCGGCTCGCGGTGTCGGCACTGCCCGGCTGCCGCCGCTGCCGCCCCGGCCCCGCCCGTGCCCGCGCCGGGACATGGACTCCGACTCCTGCGCTTCGCCGTTTGCCCCGGAGGTGAGCCGGAGTCCCGGGGGGAAAAAAGGCAGGGAAGGGAGAAGCGGGGAGGGAACAGGAGGGGAGGGGGTGCTTGTCCTGCTGCCCAGCCTGGCCCGGCCCGTCCCGGCCCTGTCCGGCCGCCGGTGCCCGCTGCCCGTTCCCCGCCGCGGGGCGGGCGGGGGGCCGGGGCCATCTTGTGCCGCCGGGGCGAGGAATGGCGGCGGCGCCGCCCCGCCGTGCCCTCCGTGGGGGGCTGTCTGGGGGCCCGGTACCGACACCGGGGGGCGATGGGGGGCGGGGGGCACTGCCCGGTCCCACCGCTGTGGGGGCGGCGGGGCGCGGCGGGAGCGGCGCCGCCTCCTCCCACCGGCGGGCCGGGCCCCGCGGCCGCCGCTCACCCCCGCCCCCCGCAGGACTTCTCCCCCGGCTCCCGGCGGCACCGCACCGTGGAGGACTTCAATAAGTTCTGCACCTTCGTCTTGGCCTACGCCGGCTACATCCCGTACCCGCAGGAGGTGAGTTCCACCGGGCTGGGGGCACGGGGGCGGGCACCGGGCTGGGGGCACGAGGGGCACCGGGCCGGTCTGTCAGACCGACCGCTCCAGCGGTCACGGCCCCGCGCCGGGCCTGAACAAAAGGGGAACCGCGGCGGCTGGAGGCTCTGGGGACGGGGCGGGTGGTGCCCGGCGTGGGCGGGGTGAAAAACGTCGGATCCGGCATCGCTCCTGCTGCTCCCCGGGCCCCGGAGCTGCGGCCGGAGAAACCCGGGGAGTGGCGTGTGGGGAAAGCGAGAGCGGCAGCACCTCGGGAGACAGGGCTCAGAGGCTTGGGGACAGGGGACAGTGCCTCAGGGCTCAGCGGCTCAGGGACAGGGGACAGTGCCTCAGGGACAGGCTTAGTTCCCCAGGGGACAGGGCACAGTGGTTTAGGGTACAGCACTCTGGGGGACAAGGCACATTGCTTCTGGGACAAGGCTCAGCTCCCCGGGGGATAGGGCAGAGTGGTTGAGGGGACAAGGCTCAGCATGCTGTGGGACAGGGGACAGTACCCGGGGGAAAGGGCTCAGCCCTCGGGGACAGGGAACAGCACCCCTGGGGACAGGTGACACCACTCTAGGGCACAGGGCACAGCATCTCAGAGATGGGTCAGAGTCCCCTGGGGGACAGGGGACAGCACCTCTGGGGACAGGTGACACCACTGTAGGAGACAGGGCACAGCATCTCAGGGATGGATCAGAGTGCCCTAGGGGATAAGGGACAGTGCCTTGCACCACATGTGAGTCTGCTCCAAGTCAAACTGTTACCTGCTTCCTGAACGTGTTCCAGGAAACGCCGCTGAGGAACAGCCCCAGCCCTCCCAACAGTACCGGAGGCACGATTGACAGCGATAGCTGGGATCCCCGCTTCAATGACACCCCCTCCTCTGTCTCCCTGCCCACCAAGAACAGAAAGAACTTTAGTCAGCTTAAGCGGGCAAAACCGTATGGTTCCCTGTTCCAGCGGGCAAAGGCCAACAACTTCCTGCCAGAGAGAAAGCAAATCGATAAGATCAGGAAGAAGAAAAAGCTGAAAAGGAGGGAAACAGAGGTGTCTGCAGAGGAGGACTATGAGGAGAAGCTGCTGGACCTGGAGGCAGAGGACTCTTACGCAGAGACGCCGATGAGCCCCTCGTCAGAGGGGGACCCTCAGTCTGTGACTGAGCACTGCTCGGTGTGGGACTCTGACACCCCGTCCAGCGTCTCCTACCCCGCTGTGACGGCCGAGCAGACGGTGGAGATCCAGAGTGTGGGCAAGCGAACGGTCATTCGGCAGGGCAAGCAGGTGGTCTTTCGGGATGAGGATGGCACTGGTGACGACGAGGACATCATGGTGGATTCAGGTAAGTGGCCTGGCTGTCCAGGAGGATTAGCCAGGTGGAAGTAGTGGTGCTTTACTTGTAGCCTGAGGATAATTTTGAGGAGCACTGCCTGGGTGGAATTCAGGAGCAGTTGGGTTTTTGGGGGGGAAGGGAGGTGGGTTGGCTCTTTTGTGCAATAAACTGAGTGAAAAGCTGCAACTTTATAGAAGCAGCATCTCCTCGATTACGGCCTCCTGTGTACTGCTGAGAGTCTCTTCCCGTGCAAGAGAGACCTGGAAAAAGCAGCAAAGTGCCTGTCTTTGAAACCCAGGTAGTTAATTTAGCATGAAAGGAGAGAAAATTTCTGGTGCGAGAGGCATCAGCCGCTAGAAACCTATCTTTGCCATTTGTCTTTGCAGATGACGACTCGTGGGACCTGGTCACTTGCTTCTGCATGAAGCCTTTCGCTGGGCGGCCCATGATCGAGTGCAACGAGTGCCACACTTGGATCCACCTCTCGTGCGCCAAAATCCGCAAGTCGAACGTCCCAGAGATCTACATCTGCCAGAAGTGCCGGGACTCCAAGTTTGACATTCGCCGCTCGAACCGCTCCCGGACGGGCTCGCGCAGGCGCTTTCTGGACTAGGGGGGAGGCACGTGCTGGTGCTCTGTGTTGGCGGGAGAGCCGTGGGTGCTGGCTGCGAGGCCGGGGAGGGCTCCCCTGAACTGCTCTGCTCAGGCAGGAGGGCTGCCCAGCCGGCCTGTGGCCCGGGAATGAGGAATCGCCGAGCCGCGGGCAGCCAGAGCTGGGAGCGGCCGACTGGGCAGAACTGTGGCGAGAGACTCTCGAGGGACAGACAGACAGACAGACAGAGCTCTCTGAGCTCAGTGGAGTTTTGTCTGGTTACGATGACTGGGTGATGTACTATACCTTTGCCAAGTAGGTTTTCTCATCCCATTGGGAAACTGCAAATCTTCTCTGTGCTAGAAAACTCCTCCTCCTCCCCAAAGAGGGAGGGGAGGAGGAGGGAGTCTGTGTGAAGAGTCTGAAGAGTAAATGGCCCTGTGTTTTAAATTCAATGTGATATTATACCTGCCCATTTGTCCGTATAGATCAATCTTAGGTATCCTGAGACTCCATAGGAGTCAGCCTCAGTGCTGTGGCCTCTGTGTGATCTGCTGCTGCTTCCACAGGCCTGAGCAGAGGGGAGTTCTGTCATTTGGCATCATCCAAGTGCAAACGAGACTCGGGGCTCCCTCCTGTGCCAAGGGACAGCGCCCTGGCAGGAAGGAGCAACCCTTTTCCTGGACAGGCAGCGTGGGGGATCAGTGGCATCAGATTCCTTCCTAGAAGGTCTCTTCTTACAGTGGTTTTTCATGATTTATTTGCATGAACAGCTCAAATGTGTGTATGGGGGGAAACTGCTCCATTTCCTGTCCCTTCGTTAACCTCTATGGTGCTGTTTTAAGAAGATGACTCTCCTTTTTCTCAGCCCAGAATTCAAACATGGACTGTAAGAGGGGCCAAAGGAAATGTAGAACCTGGCAGGTCTGGTTTGGAATTTGATCATGTCCATCCAAGTATGACAGCTGAGTTGATTTTTGCTTTTGCTGTTTGTTTTTTGGAACTGGACTGTAACCAAAAAGCCAGAATCTTTATTCTGTTGGTAGCAATGACAGATCAAATGCAGGCAACTCAGCTACAGGATGAAGTGCAATGAGGATCTGTGTGGAGTGGACAGGAGAGCGTTGAGGCCCTGGCCAGCACTGCAGACAGGACCTCCTGGGCCTTAGCCCATGGGAAATCCCTTCAGGACCACGATGGGAAGTCACAGCTCATGCACAAGGCCAGGGAGATGCTGGCATTGTTCCTCAATGGCCACAGATCCACATGGATCACACAAATGGGGTGATGCTTCGAGGTGTGTCTCTGAAGTGATGCCTGAAGAACAGTGTGTGCTCTGCCCAGGAAGAGGCTCAGAGAAGCACTGGCTGGCACAGCAGCTGAGCCAGGCCAGCTGTGCCAGCAGGAACACGGCCCCAGGAGCTCTGCGGTCACACAGCGCTGGAGCACTGCCTTGTCTGAGGACTGGCTCACCAGAGATGCATCCTGGTGATGACTGAGGGTCTTGCTAGCACACAGGGGCAAGTGCCCTCCTTCAGACATTGCCCCCAGGGCTGCCAAAGCCTCAGGCAGCCCAGTACCACAGCGCCCTGGGGCTCCACAATGTGGGAAAGGGCGACAGAAGTGCGCAACATGCAGCTGTTCTCTCCTGGTTCTTGAAAAAAATCTTGTTCCACCAAGCTGTAACACCTGACTGGGTTTCAGAAAACCAGCTTCTGTCAAATCTCTCAACCATGACTGTGCTGTGCTGCCTTCAGAAGCTATGTGGAACCACCAAGGAGTTTGCCAAAGACTCGCTCCCAATGGCTGCCTGACTGTCCTTTGCAGCCAGAAAAATAACCAAAGTTCTCCAGTGCTGCCATTTCCCCAGAAATGCTTTGGAAGATCCCAGCCACAACTGCACAAGGGTTGGACCTGGTCTGAAATTCGTATCTCTTGTGTTTACAGCGTGTCTGCAGTTCAACTGGACCTCTGTGGACTGTGTTCCTGAAGCTTTTATGGGAGAAATGGTGCACTGTCAAGTGAACTGGCTCTTTTTCACAGAGGTTCAACACTAATCAATGTGACTGACTCTTGTTCTGTCCCCTTTTCGGATTTATCCCAGTGGATGGTGTCCAGCACGTTACAATATCAGCAGAGAGAAATAAAAAAGTAACATCTCCATTCTTTTAGTTCATCACTTTCAGCCATGTATAATTATAGTTTAATTCAGAACTTTATTTTTTCATTAAAACTTCTAATGAACCATGTTTTTTTCTTACATGTGAGACAAATGAACAATGAGTTTGTTATATTCCAAACTCAGGAGTCTGTTATGATTTATTGGCTTGTGAGCTGTTGTGCCAGGCAGCAGGAAGACTTAACACTTGAAGTGCTCTTCCCAAAACAATACACTCAGGTGGGGATAGGAAGAGCTGGCAGGGATCCCCCACCTTTCTGTGGAGCAGCTGCTCCTTGCTAGAATGTGGGACATGGTGATGGAGGCCTGGGCTGGGCAGGGAGGAGGTTGGGAGGGAGGCACTGCTGGAGTGGCTGCAGAGAGCAGGGACACTGCTGGGAATGTGCCAGGGGCTGCTGAAGGGTGCCGTGACTGAGCTGGGGACAGGGCTCAGGATGCCAATGGTGTCAGAGTGGTCCTGGCAGCAGGGCCCTGCAGCCTCAGGAACAGCCCTGCACCCCCTTGCAAGGACTGGAGGCTTGGCCAGACCCAAACCAAGCCCCTGTGAACTCTCTGTTGAAAGAAACCCTTCCCTCCCCACCACTAGGCACACCAAGGACTCCACACCACCCTGCAGCTCGTGGATGTGCCACAAGCCCACAGGCACTGCTGCCATCAAAGCAGCAGCCTGAACACCTTGGCACGCTGAAAAGGCAGCTCAACCTTTTGGAAATGGCACTAGGTCATGCTGGAAGCTCAGCTCTGCTTGCTTAGAGCTTCTATTTTAATTCTGTTGGTAATTTTGAATTATAGAGAGGCATAAAAAGAAGTCCCAGGGGAGTTTTGGCTGTAAAATGGCAGCTGCTCACAGCAAGGATGTGGTGGTGAAGGCTGTGGTTCTGCAGTGGGGATGTTCTTACAGTTTTGGCAAAACGTGGCACTGATAGAAAACAAGGAAGAAAGGAGGAGGGGGCTTGGGAGACTGAGTGAGCATCTGGCTCTCAGGGATGCTCTTGTGCCATGTCCTAGTCCCTACAGGCTGGCTCCTCACTTCTGACCATGCACCTCACACAGCGACATCAAAAGGGAACTGGAGGAGATTTAGATTTCTGCCCAGTCCCACCCAGCAGAGGTCAATAAGCTGGATGGGATGGAGAGTGCTGTTATGGTTACAAACCCTTGCTTTCCAGGGGTTTCATCTCAGGAATTTCCTACAGATGCAAAGGGAATGGGAGCTGCTTTTCAGCTGAATATAATTTATTGCACATTTTACATTTACTTTGAGATTGACAGAACGCTGGCCATAGGTGAAATAAAGCCCTGCACCAGGAACTGGTCACAACTGAAAAGTTTTGGTTTTAATAAAAACAAATGAACACCCCTTCATAATATGAACTTGTTTTTTACAGGGGAAAGCATTTCTTTTGGAAATCTCATTCTCCTGGTGCAGTGACCTGAGCACAGAGAAGCACAGCTGCACAGAACAGGGCCAGGTCCATGTCAGGAAAGGAGTTATGGCAGGAGTTGTTGAAAGCAACTCTGCACTGCCAAGACATGGATGTTTTCCCCTCTGCTGTCACCCATGAGCAATGAAAGCTGGTCTGGCCTTGGCCAGAGCAAAATTATGATCAAGGAACAGCCACCACGATTCCTTGTCTCTCTGCAAAAGCCTCAGAAGTGCTGATGTACCCAGTGTGTAGCAGATTCTACAAAGTGCTGTTTCCAGCTGCTGGATCACCAGCCCAGGACTGCCCTTCTGCTGGAAATCCCTGTCAGGGCTTCTAGGCAAGATAAAGCCAATGGATCTATGCTGTAACTGCTGCTTTTCAGAAAGAGCAGATGAGTGTTACATTTTCAGCTCTTAATCCATTTGGCCTCTCTCCTCACTTTGGTATGGCTTACTTTATGAACTACATTTATTTTTACTAGAAATAAATTAGATGTGAAGAGATAGTTGCAGCATCAGAATCAAATGAAATTAATTGCTGTCCTTCTCCCTCACTTTTCTCTTTTCTGGAAATCCTTGACAATACATGGTTGTGGGTGGCAGAAGAATTAATAAAACTATGATACACCGTGTCCTTGTCTGGAAGAGCAGCGTTGGAAATGAGCAGCTGGACAGATTGGTGCTGAAGAGGTCCATATTACTTCAAAAGGCAAATTCATTCATATTTAAGCACATACTTTCCTTAACAAGTGCATTTCAAACACAGATTTGAGATTGAAACAATCACTGACCTCTCTCCAGAAGTATTTGCACAGGGGACTTCCAGGAGGTGGCCAGAGAACTGAAATTCCCCTCAGAAGGAAGAAGGTGTGTTACCTACCCCAGGAAGTACGTGGAGGAGTGAGGAGAACAGCTCTTCATCCCTGCTGAGTGCCAGGAGAGAAGTGTGAGTGCAGGAAGCTGGGAGCAGGAGGCCCCTGGGCCCCTGCAGAAAGCACTGTGCACTCAGAGTCACGCTGCTTTATTGGGTACCGAGCCACAACTCAGATATTGCCAGGGAGCCGCCTGCAGCAGCAGGGTCTGTCCTTTTGTCCCTAACAGAACCAGCAGGACACCTCCTGCTGTACAGACAGTAAAAATAAAAGTGTCCCTGTTCAAACTGGCAGCGTCCGGGGGAGGTTTTGCAGTTTCTGTTGAGCCAGGTACCGTGGGGGACGCGCGTTCCCGGATTAGCCGTCGGCATCGATCCTGTGAGCTGTGGGGAGAACGAGGAACTGTACCAAGGACAGGCTGCAACACCTCAGGCTGCTAATTATACACAACTCAAATAAGCCTCCAATGCACTTCTGGAAGCTGTATCAGTTGGATGTGCTGCTCACACTGGGCGGGGAGCTGGTCTACAGCAAACAGAGGTCTGTGCCCTTGAGCCAACCCACCAGAGCCACAGGAGCGCCAGTAAAAGTTGCCACAAGCAGATCCCAGTTTCACAGAGCTATTCCAGCAGGGAAAATGTTTTGGTCAGATAAATGGGGACAAGGAAGAAATCTGACTCAGGCCTTCATACATTAAATTCACTCCTCAAATGGCCACCCAGTGCTGCAAACTGCACAGAAGGACACTGGCACCTGTGGGAGGCCTCTGCTTCCAGCCACAGTTAGAGATACAAACTAGCTGGTACAAACAGCTGCAGAGCTGCTGCTGAGTTCTTTTGGGCCTTACTCCAGAGGCAAGCCATGGTCAGCCCATTCAAGCAACCCCATTTCTGAACCCCAGTTCTGTGTGCTTCACCACAGAGCTGAAGAAGTCCATTTCTGGTTCCCCAAGGAAGATGCTGGGCAGTCTGTGCTACTCACATTGCTTTGGTATCCTAAGGGCCTCATTGTCAGCTGACATCACCTGGTGCAGAACTCCTCGGAACTGATAAAGCACTTTCAAACTCTTCTCCTCACCCACACAGGGGTCGTAGAAGCCTGGCAGCCCAGCCTTGAACCAGAGAAGGACAGACTAAGCATCAGGGAATGGACTTTCACAGCTCTCCAGCTGGCCAAAAACATTTATTACTGCCAAGGACAACGTGTCATAAAGGAAGAAAAAAAAGGAGTTTTGCTGCCAGCAAGTTGAGACACTGGGGAATCATCTCCACAAGTTTTTGGTGCATAAAAGTAAACCAGGGGGTTGGGAAATTTCTGGTGTACAGCCCCAAGGTCTGTAACACCCACTCTCCCACTGGCACTGGAAAAGCCCCAAGAAACAAAAGTTCCTGGAAGCTTGTAATAAATACTTGGTAGGTAAATGGCATCTGTGAATTGATGCAGAGCCACTGGAGAGATCCCCTGGCAGGACACCACATGGTTCAAACAAAATTCTGGGCCACACATTTGAGTCCCTGAATCTGGGCATTGACAGAACATTTACTTACCTTGGAGGCCTCTGTAAGGATGAGTTTAGAGTCCTTCACCAAGCACTGCAGAGGCACAGTCACATCTATAACCTTCACCTTCTCATTCTTCCTGCTGTTGTCGTTAACAAACTTCCCATACCAGGCATTCACTACAATCAGACCTGCATTTCCCAGGAAATCACATCTGTGATGGAAGGCTTCCACTGACAAAAAGACCATCCCACCATTTTGTCTTGCTTTCAGTGAGATCTAATTCTCCTAGCCTGGACCCACACTTCCCAACAAAGAACAGCATTTTTCTTGGGTGTTTGTTAGTAACCTTGAGCACTAGAATGGAGTGACAGGACCTCAGTGTCACACTGATGTGACAGTCCAAGTGGATTCCAGTTCACTTTGGAACATTCTGTGGAAAACTGCTAGTAACCATAAGAGACCAGATTCCCATTATGATCCAGAAACAAACCATGTAAGGGAAAAATCAGTAAAACCTGAATTTCAGACTACAACTTTTGCACCTTTTTATAGAAACACCTCTCTCTGGGGAAGAGGTAATTCCAGACTGTTGTCTTCAGTCTGTTGATCCACTTCACACCATGTCCCAAGATAATATTCTGTGATCCCTCCTAAGCTCAGGCACCTGGAGCTGAGTCATAATGGGGCTCCCACACTATGGGCACAGCAGCAATTAAGCTGCACTTTATCAGGAGTGGGAATGAAGAAACAACACCTTTGCATTGTTCCTTCTTCTCTCCAAATTTATAGAACAAGTAAATGATATCATAATCTTTACCCATTCTGGCTTCCTCTGCTTCAATTATCCTTCGGACTGACTCCTGCATTAACCGGACCTGTCACGACACAAATGACAGAGCAGAAATCACACAGGGTCACACACCGTGGCCAAAGGAGAATGGTCCAGAGTAAAAAGAGTTTCCTTTCACTAAGGGGACTGAGTTACAAGAAAGACTCACTGCTGCTTCAGCCTCCTGCTTCTTCTGTAGGATGTCACTGGCTGTGCTCTCCCGCTGCTTCTCCAGCTCCCTGGCAGAAGGAAGGCAGAGCTGGGATTCAGGCAGAAACTGGCAGGGTCTCCTTACCCACCCCTCAGCCTCACACAAATAACCCCAAAAAAACTTCCTGAGGAATGTGCAAGCTCACCTCTCCTTCTGTGCCCTGAGGTAGGGTTTGATGACCAGCCTGTGCATGGCAAAGTAGATAACGAGAGGTCCCACGGTGGCATAGAACACAGCACTGGGAAGCAGCTGATCTGTTAGATGGACAGGGAAGAAGTAGGTCTGGCTGGCCCTATTCAGCCTGCAACAAAGAAGAGCAGAGGGATGGTAAGAGGAAAAGCAGAGCTGGATGTGCCTGATGAAGCACACTTAGCAGCAGTGCTTGCTGATGAACCGAGGGGAGATGAATGAGGAGCTCAAAGTGTGAAAAGCCTGCTAAAGTGAAAAAGCCAACGGCAGAAAAGGCAGCTGACACCAGCCAGAGCCAGACTTTGAAGCAGCAGCTCGTGATATACCTGACCATTCTAAAGTTCTTTTTTTAATCTTAGGAGAATTTGCTTGGTCATTAATTTCAACTGAAAAAGGGATGAACATCCTCATGAAAGAAGAGCAAATGCTTCTAGAGAAGGCCTGTGCTCATAACACTGGCATGGGCCTTCAGGGCAGGTGTTCATGAATATTCTTCTGATGTCTGTAACAATATTTATTTTAGAAAACACGAGTTTGCTTGGGCCTGAATTCTTCAGGCCCTTCAGCAGTTTCACACCCCACCTGTAGCTGGCCCCAGTTCAAGTACAACACAGCACAGGGACACTTAATGAGCTCTGTCCTTCAGTGAACTGCACCTTGTTAATGGTACAATCACCTGCATTAGGCAATGACAATTCCCTAATTCAAGCATTCACTTGTATACAGCACAATACACATGGAATCCATCTGTACTAACACTTTCAGAAATCTTCCATTCACTTACCAGAGTGCTCCAAATCTCAATTTAAGCTGCATTTCAGAATATTCTGATGCACACACAGACAGGTGGCCCAGGCTGTGAGTCACACCAGTGGAAAGCACCCATTGCTTATGATGGGCTTACAGCTTGCATTAGAGGGCAGCTGCACCCTCTCCCAGTGATGTATCAATACACCTGTATTGACCTGGGACTGGCTCCTTCCCAGCTGAATACTGGAAATAGAATCATGGAGGTTATGGTCAGCATCTGTAATAAAGAGTTGAGATCTTGAACTGACTTGATTTTCAAGGACACTCCTTGGGGAACACCAACGCTGACAGTGGCTCCTAGAACACTGTGCCTGGAGATCTTCCTCTCTGCTCCATACTCCACTATGGTCCCAAAGAAACCCACCCTAGAATGACAGAACCAAGAACTGTTAAGACAGAGAAGATATTTGAATTTCTCTTTACTGAATCCTGTAATTCCCAAACAAGTAAAGCATGGAAATGCATCTGTTTGCAGCAGATGTTGGCCTCTGGAAGATTCACAGTGTACCTCCAAGGTGAGATGAGACCTTCCAGCTTGCTAAGTAGTGAACAAGAACTTTTGGCTTTCTTATTGGGGATGATACAGAGATATCATACACAAGTATTATTAGTTCCACTGAAGTGCAGAGGCACACAGAGCCAAGCCTTCAAGACATTCACTTCAGCATTTACCAGATTTAAAGAGTGAAAAGCAGGCTCCCAAGGGCCACAGAAGCATTTGGTTTGTGTGGAACCTGCAGGCCTACAGCAGCAGGAGAGGACAGAGTCCTCAGGCTGTGAGCAATGTGAATTCCCTCTTGAGCACTTACTTGAGAGAACCTTTCACTCGTGTTTGATCCTCATCCTGAAACTTATGCTGGTAACTGACCATCATGAAAGAATGGGGGATTCCCAGCTGAAACACAAGAGGCACAAACATATCAGAACATACCCCTGGCCACTGCGGCCTCCCCAATTTCCTTTCTCAACCTTGAAGCACAGAACACAAAGCAGTGCTTGCCACTTGCAATCTCTGCTGTCTGTGTTGTCCTGACCCTACTGTAAGCTGACCCACATCTTCTATGGCAATGCCAAGAGCTGTGCTCTGCCAAACAGCTGGTGACCTATCTTAGATCTATCACAAGATACACCAACTGCTTCCTTAACCTGTAATCCCAAGGCAAAATGTCAGAACTCAGCACATCCCCCTGGGTGTCCAGAGTTGCCAGAACCCCTGCCAGGGGGCTCAGAGACCCTGGCACACAGCCCAGAACACCTGTGGGTTTGATTACGACCCGTGGAGCAAATTACCAGCTTTGTATGAAGGCCTGAAAGCCACAGAAGTTTAAGTAGTGTAATAATAGAATTATCATTAGGTGAAAAAGTAGATTTTGGGGTTTTTAGAATAGGGGTTTTGGGGACAAGATGGAGGGACTTGGGCATGTCCAGCCTTTCTTCTTCTTCTCTACCTCCATCTTCTGCTGTGATGTTGGCACTTTTGGATTGGTTTAGAGTAGAAACTCACTGTCTAACGTAGGTGATAGGTATTGGAAAGTAATTGTAAACGTGTTATATCTAGTTTGTAGTATAAAGAGATAACGCTGCCCTGGGGGCAGGCAGTGTACCTGGAATTGTCCTGCTGGACAGACCTTGGCTGGACAGGAGAAAAAATTTTATAGATAAGATACAATAAACAACTCTGAGACTGAGAACTGAAGAACTCTGACTCATTCTTTGAATGTGCAGGCCAAAACAGGGACTTTTCATGTATCTCAGAGCTGCAATAAACTGCAAACTCCCGAGAGCAAAACACTGCTGGGCCAGGCAGGTGAGGCTGCTCTCTCCCACAGGATCCCTGTGCTGCCCGGGGCTCTCACCTGCATTGCCAGGGTGAGGTGGCTGCTTTTGGTGTCCCGGACAATGCTGGTGTTCATGGCTGACTGAATGCCCCACCTCCACTGCAGGTAGCCCATGGTGTTCTTGTCCAGGTTTCGGGCCAGGACCGTGGTGAGGCCGGGGCGGACCCCGCGCGATGAGAACTGCAGGGCACAGTTTGTGGTGATGAAACTGGAAACAAGAGGAAAAAATTGTCAGTGAAAAAAAAACACAGGCTCCCAGCTGGCCTCAGAGTCTTTCTTGCCCAGGAATTTTTACTAAGTGCCCAGAGACCATCCTGCAAGGCTATCAGGGAAAAGTAAAAATTAATTCAGACTGCCCTGAGCACAGCAGTGTCCAGAAGAGCAGCTGTGCCCTGGTTTATTGTCTGTGCCCAGGCACCCAGCCTTCCCCTTCCTGCCTGTGCAGGTAACATCCTGCTCTCTGCAGAGCAGCACACTGGGCTGCTGGCACAGAGCAGCCCTCCTATTCAGTAATCCTAAAAAACAGTGCTAAAGCACTCCCCAGGGAACATGAATCCTGTACAAGCTCTGAGGAATGGCAGATGCACTAAATTTGAAAATGTAAACAGGAGGAACCTACATGAATGAGCTCCTATGATGCTCTGACATGTGCCTCCAGTCACAGGCCTTACCTTGGATTCTCCTTTGCAATCTGAGACTTCTACTCATTTGTGAACAGACATGAGATTAGTGGCAAATTTGGCATTATTTTCATCTCCTGTTTTGCTGTCAAAAACTCCCTCTCACACATGGAAGCCTCAAAAGAGTTCCCAATTTTTTATTCTGTTCCCAGAGCAAACTTCTGTTGCTCTGCCTCAAGTATGATAAATCATGACAAGATCAAGTACAAATCTAAGGATGTGGAAGACAGACCAGCTTTAAAGTGGAAATATGAAAAATAAGGGCACCAACACCCAGAAAGAATGCAGGCATTTTGACAATATAAGTATGACCTTAAGTCCAAAGTGAAAATATCTTATTTTGCAGGACAGAAAATTAATCCAAAATTAATGTGGAAGAGCATTCAAGTAATTTAGCTCCTCACTGTGGGATATTAACCACTAGGCCATTTTTCTAATATTTACCATCTTGGTGTAAGATTACGAAATATCTTCAACCCAAAGAGAGGTCCATGAAGGTCTCCAGCTCCAAACTCCAACTGTTGGAATACACAGTGCCAGAGTGTTAGAGGAAATCATCCTTTACAATAGTGGCAAAGTATGGCACGAACATCATTTTTATCACAGCTGTTTTACACATCTGAGTAACATTTACCACCTCTTTCAGCACCCTCCCTTCAGCTTTGCACTCAGAAGAAGAAAAGGTGTCTCACTGAGTTGGAGCCCATGGGTAAAACAAAGCCAGTTTTGTAAAGCTACAGGTCAGTGCCACTAGCACGTCACTCCAGGGAACTTGGAGAAAACTCTCACAAAAATCCTGATGCAAACCAAAAGCCTTCATTATGTGAATCTCAAATGAGAGGAAGACTCCCACTCTCCCAAGCTGAGGAAGGAGGCTAGCAGCAGCTCATGTGCAAGAAGGAAGGCCCAGGCAGTGCCAGCTGTACCAGCAATGCCATGAGCACCCCAAACACAGCCCAGCTTGCAGGTGCAATGTGGGACCTTCCAGCTGCTCAGATCTGCTGGGGGCCTCAAACTATTTCCCCCATAACTTCTTCCCTTGCAAGCAAAGCAGTTTTGGAAGCAAAGGCCAACTATCACACTGCTCTAAAAGGCCTTCTCACACCACTGTGCCTTCAGACAGAGCAACCAGAAAGACAAGAGACATCAGGTAATAATTCTGTCTGCACAGGTAAAGTGCAAATTGCCAAATGGAGAGGGAAGAAAAAGAAGAAAAAACAAGGCTTTGTCTCAAATTCCTTGAAGAATTAATTTTTCTACATTTTACAGAACACAGAAAATGAGAGATGAACCACAGTTAAAGCTCCCCCCCCAAAAAATAGAACATCAAGTAATAGATTGAATATAAAATTGCACAACAGGGGTACTCTTACCTCTCCCCATCCCTTGGCAGATGTCACTCGTCTCAGTGCAAGATTAATTGATCCGCCTCCATTCCCATTCTGGGTGGAAAGGTTTCCAGACAGTATTGCTGTATCTGTGGAAGTCAGGGGTGCCTGAAAAAGGAATATATTGTTTCAAGTACCTCTGATCCCAGTTCACACATTTAGTGCATGTTCTGCAAGGACATAACCACCACTGCAGAGTGTAAATGGTTTTGTAGTCCAACATCAAGCATGGCAAAAAGTCAGATAATTCTTACAGCACCAGACACTTGTGATACCTGTAATGTACCACCTGACCTTGAGCTGTAAACCATTCTCATCTCTCTAGCAGACTAAATTTCTACAATTCTCTGCAAGAGGAAATGCTTCCCATCATTTTCCTTATGCTCATGCTCAGGACTGGGTGCCATCCACTGAACACATCCCATTCAGTGAGAACTGGGCACTGAGCATCTCCCTGCCAGGAGGGCAGGACCAGGTGCCCAAAGGCTCCAGAGCCAACCCAGCATTCTGCTGGCCCCAAGCTGCCTCTTCCCACCTGTGCTGTCCCCCCCAAACCCTGCTGAGAGGCAGGAGCAGAGTGTTCTGTGCTCTGTGCTCTGTGTTCTGCACTCGCTCACGCCCCGCTCGCACGGCAGTTTGCCCTCCTCACCTCGATGGACTGGGATATGTGCATTTTGTTGATCTCAATCTGGGGAAAGCTGCTCCCAGGCACATCTTCATACTCCTCATCATAGCGATCAAACAGGTCAGTGGCATCTATTCCCACACTAATTGTTCCCTGAGGGATGACAAGGGAAACAGGCATTCAGCATTAGCAAACATCTGGCGTGCACAGAACCATCCCTGGGTATGATTACATTTTTGTGCAGCTTTCCACTGCTCTGCAATTACTTTTACCACTCTAAAATGCATTTCCTAATGCACAAAACAAAAGTGAATGATTACAATATTTCTAAACAGCAATATAAATCATCAAACAGACTGAAGAAAAGGCAGTTTTTCAGCACAAACTCAACTTGCAATCCCAGGAGGTAATTTTTCTATAGTGACACATTACAGAAGCAGGTAGAACACCTTTACACAGCAGGTTTCTTCTTTCACCACAAATGACTGTGCTCTGTCAGTATTTAAAAGCTGAAATAATATATTCTAGAAATTGATTTTCTTCAATGGAACTTAGACAGAAAACCTCTACAGTCTCCTTCTTATGAGTTACCTGAACCAACTTAGTACTGAACTGTACCATTCACTTGCAATTGACCTTGTTAGCAAAATATTTTGATTTCTTCTTCTAGTTTGTGTTTTGTGATCAGAAGGAAGGCTTGAAAAAGACATACTTTTAGCAACTGATAAATATTTTCTTTCTTAGACCATAGAAAAACTTATTCCTACAAAAAACTAGGCCACAGCACAATAGCCTGGCTACCTGCTGCTGTGCTCCCTCAGACTAACTGCAGGAGTGTGTTTCTTTGAAAAGAGCACAATTAGGTACTTGTCTGGGTCATATAACTTCAAGAGGCTTTGGAAACCTTCCCTATGGACCCATCTGACAGCATCCCAGCTCCTATAAAACATATGGATTGCAATAAAACCCCCCCTCTGTGCACAAGCACAGACTGAACTCGGAGCAGTTTGTATATGGAAACTCAATAGCTGGGCAGCTACAAACCCCATCCACACTCAGGCCAAGCATGGCTGGAAAAAATCCTTATTTCAGTCTGAGGGAGCATTTTTCCTTGATTGCTCCACTCTAACCAAATGCTGGACTGTAAATAAAGGAAGAATTGCAGAGTCTGACAGGACTGGAACCTTTTCTCTGCCTGGGCTCCCAGGCTATCTATTTGCTGTGGAGATTCCCAGCCTCTTCTCAGTGTTTATTTTCTCATGAAGCAAAAATTGGATAAATATTTTAAAACTGAAAGGTGTGGTTATTTCCAGCTGAATCCTGGAACAGGGGCTGTGCCCCAGCTGGTTACTAACCAGCCTTGGCAGCTGGTGAATTTCAGAGCAATTACATTCATTGTTCAGCATGGTGGTGGCACCAACAACCAGCTTCTGCCCTTTCTGCACTTTCAGGAACCATCTACAAAGTCACCTTCAGGTGACTCCAGACCCTACAGCTTCTCCAGTTTCAGCCCTCTCCTGTGCCATGCTGTTCCTTGAAACCAGGCCAAAAGAAGAGGGAAGCAATGGAAAACCTCTAACCACCCTGTGAGGGCTCAGTCCTGTGCTAGCAAACACCATTTGGAGACAATCCTGCTGTACTTGGCTTACTGGTGCCACAATGCTGCACCCTTTGGAAAGATGCACCAAGATCCACATACATTCCTGAAATTCATTGCACCTTCTTTCTCTACACTAAAATATATAAAATACACTAAAAATATTAGGATTTCCTTTTTCACATGTATGAATTCTACAGCAAATATTCCTCCCAAGGAAACAAGGAAAACACCTGAACCTCTCCATGAAAATCCACGAGATCTGCTCAGAGGAAAGGAGTGTCTCCCTCTTACTCTTCTGCCTTCCCCTGAGGTCAGAGGTGGACCCTGGGCAGACCCTCCAGCTCCTGCCAAGCAGGTGAAGTCACCCTGGGAGCTCTGTGGATCCTGGCAAGGAAACTGGTTCAGGCACAAGCACAGGAAAAGCAGCAGATGGCAAAGTTAAAAATATTCCCAGAGAACCAGAGCACCCCTATGCCTCCGGATAATGGAGGGGGAATTGCTGCTGCTCCCAGCTCCCACCTGCTCTGAGCATGGACGAGCTCTCCCCAAAGGAAGGGCAGCAGGAGAGAGCTGGAACTCCTGCTCAGGAGTCAGTGCTGCCCACACTGCAGCAGCTCAGCAGGGCAGGAAGCAGGAGTGGCACTATGGAACCATCAGAGCTGGGATTGGTTTTTAAAATCACCTTTATTTGCCAGCCTGTGAAAAGGTAACACGCTTCACTGGTGGAATTCGTACATGTGCCAGAGGAAAATATACTTCCTCCTTAATTTTTACTTAGGGATTTACCTTCAGCAAGGTGATACCTGTAAGTTATGCCAGGCTTTGCCTTGTGTTCCTTACATATTGACCTTCCACAGCAGGAAAATAACTGGATTTAATTTCTTCTAACAGGAAGTGGTTCTTCTTAAACCTAGTAATGAACTTTTCAACCCTTCTGCACATCTTTGAAAGCAAAAACAAAGCTCTAAAAGCAAATAGGAGACTCAATTTCAACCCTCCAAATTGCCTACATCTGGTTATTGCTCAACATTCCTGGTTAAAATGCTTTATTTTTGTGAAACTGTTTTATAGAACCGACAAAACGTTGGAAATTTTAAAATAACTTGTGCTCGTGTATGAAATGATCACAGCTGTGCTCCCCAATTCCACGGGAACACTGCCTGGAGAGGCATTTCCATCAGCTGCCAGCCTGCAATTGCTGTAAACACCCAGATGGCTAATTTTATCCCAGGACACAGGCTCACAGTGCAGCTCGCAGCCACGGCAGGGAAAATGTCACATTCCTGCAGCAGGGAGCAGCAGAGTGGGAGATAACCATGCCCCTCTCTGCAAACACCTCTGTGACCCCACTCACCCACACCTCCAGCAGGGATAGTTTGCCCTGCCTGGCTTGTGGCACACAGAAATCCCTTCCTGCCTGGAATAAAGCTGTCAACAGATACTCACACAACACTTTATGCTTGTTTACCCTTCTAGTACAAAGCAGTTCTTAGTGTCTATAAACTACCCACAGCCTGCAGATCTGGACAGCATAATTGCTTTGCTAAGAGCAGGGCACATCCAAAGGTGGTGCCAAGGTGAATGTCCCAAAATATTACAGCTCTTCTTAGGTGGATGTTTTCCTTAAGATCCAGTCCTAAGCACCATTGCAATCCCACATCTGTCCTCTCAGAAGGCATTGTGATTTTACACTGATCTATGAATTAATTTAGTTAATAGTAAATGCAGCTCTTGGATAATGTTAGTTGTTGAATAAGAAGCAAGATTTTTGTGATTCAACAAGCTTTGAAACTTCAGTCAGGGACCATCCTGACAAACCCCAGGTTTGCCTCACAAATTCATCAAGCCAAGAGGCAGCAAAGACACCGACAGTCTGAGCTGTGGATACTCTGGCCAATTGCCATACCCATCTTTCCCTGCCATCCCAATGGGATTCCTGAGCACCTCTGACCAGCCAAGGTGAGCTGAGGTGAGTCAGACACAGCTCAAACAGACTGAGATGGGAACAGCATCCAGGATGATTCTCACCCTGAGGGCACGATCACCCTTTCCAAAAACAGGCACTAACCCTGTTCAGATTGACTTTGCTCACTGTGCTGCTGCCCAGCTGGCTTAGGGATGCTTCAGATTTGTTGCTGGTTTCAAGATGCAGTTGAAGAGCTCCCTGCATTGTTGTGACACTGCAGCAATGCCAAAGGAAAAACCTGTCAGGTAACTGCAGTGAGTTACAATTATTTAGTAAACTTGGAAAGAAATCATAAATATTTCAGTGTTAGGTCTATTTTCTGCAAATTGCTGAAAAAGGTATTTTGTCTCAACATGTTTTGCTAAGAAAAGAAGAATATTCAGTAAGGGATTGTTCAGAGAATGAGCTGTTCACCCTATATTATGCAGAGAAACAGCATATGCAAAAGGCAGAAAGTCATGCAGCAAGTGCAGACACCTGAGGGGCTCTTTCCTCTGGGCCCTCACCTAGGCTCAGCACCCCCTGCACACTGGTGATAATTACAGACCCACTCTTGAGACCAGGATTAAGTCTTTGCTTACCTTTGGATTAGTTCTCTGCTGCAGTCTCCTCTCTTCCCTCTCCCTCTGCAGACGCTCAAATTCTTCCCTGATTTCAGCTGCAGTTCTCTTTCGTTCCACAACCTGCTCAAAAAGCAATGAAAACCAAACCATTACCAGACAGAGGCTGCTCAGGGCATTGCAGTGCTGGGGTTCAGAGCCTTGGGTGCAGGATGCACTAACACACTGCCCCAGCTGCTGAAAGCCAATTTCAACAGTCAGAGTTTGGAACAAAGCACCCAGGCCAGATCAAAGGGCAGGCATGAGAGAAAACCATGCCTTGAGAGAACAGAAAATGGTTTTGTTGTTTCCATTTCCTTGACAAAACCAGGGCAAAGAGCTGTCCAACCACAAGTACAAGACACTGCAGTGCAGCTGTAACCCTCAGCGATCCATTAACTGCTCTACCAGGTGTGGACACAAAAATGAAAATAACTGAATGTCTCTGGGCTGAGGTAAATTGATTCCACAAGAGCTGTGTGATTTCAGGCTGTGCTGGTTCACAGCTGCTTACCTGACATGGCTCAGGGAATGAGGGTTTTATACAGGCCCAGTTTTGGAATGGATAGAAAGAGTATTGGATTTGGCTCTTCAAAATAAGATCAAGTCTGCCAAAAGCAGTTAAAAAAAATCTGGTTTTCAAAGCATCTGTTACATGCTGGATCTGCTCCACATTTCTAGCAACTGACTCCACGTTTGACCTTGGTGCTGACCTGGCCCAATAGCACAGGATTCTGCTTCAAGCAGCATAGAGCAATCAACCAGGGCTGGCAGAGGCTAGCAAGGGACTCCAGAGCTGGACAGACATGAATGGACAAGTTCTGTTTCCAGGCCCATAAAACCCAACCAAAACTAAACCAAACACATAAAAAAAACCCAGCTCGACCCACCCCAAAAAGCCCAGGAAGAAAAAAGTAATTTCAAACTCAGAAGCTAGTTGATGCTGAAAAAAACCAAGTTTTGGACGAAAAAGCTGGAGCTAGATGGACAATAATGACACATTTGTCTCAGATAAAGATGTTGCCTGTCATGGTAATATCCTTCCAGGGAACTCTGAGTGTCAGATTTATTGTTCTCTTGTCAAGTGCAAAACCAAAGGGTTCTCTGGAAATCCATCATGGTGTTCCAGCAGGGACAGAGAGAGACAGAAATAACTAACCAAGGATGCCTTCAAACCAAGAGGCATTTATTACCAGCCAGGTGTCAGGGCAGCTGATAGAACCATGGCAGATAAAGGTGGGCTTAGTCAAGGCCACTGGCCAGAATGTGCTCAATTTCTCTCACCTCCCAGCCTTCCATCTCCAGTCCTCTCCTCCCATATATGTCATAGATGGCTCTGGTCTGTGGATCACTAAGCACTGCAAATTGAAACCAAAATATAAGAACTTGCTAGAAATGGAGACCACGGCCAGGTGACAGGGAACAGAACCCAGAGATGCAGCAGTTCATCAATACAATATTAAATGATATCTCTACTTGAAGCTTTTCAGCCTTTATTCTCCTATGGAAGGGGTCTTCAGAAGTAAGGGAAGTGATGAGAAGATCATTTACAGCATGCAGGAGGTAAGACAGACACTCCACATCTCATTCCCTGCAGCATTTATATGGCATTTCCCCTCTGACGTATGGTACAGCAGCACGAAACAGCATTGGTAATTATCACCAAATTTAATTATTGCTTTGTAATAACACATATCTTCAAAAAGCATGAAGACACAGCTCTCCCAGAACCCCCCTGCAAAGCTCAGCCTCCCCCTGACCTTCATAGGCTTGGTGGACAAGGTTGAAGAGACGCTCAGCCTGGCTCTTGAGCTCGGGGTCGCGGTGCTTGTCGGGGTGGTAGAGCATGCACAGCCGGCGGTACGCCGCCTTCAGCTCCTCCTGGGAGGCCTGTGGAGACCACCAACAATCAGCAAGGACAGCCAAGGCCACTGCCAAAAGGCCACTCTCAAGATCAGTCCTGAAAGGGAAGTCTGTCAGCTGTTACGTTGCATTAATTTGGCCCAAAATCAAGAACGGGTTATTGCTTCGGTACGTAAGTTAATAAAATATTCAATTATCACACCAGGATTGTCCACGCTATCTGTAGTGCAACAAGGCACCTCATCAGTGCATAATCAGGTACAAAAAATGATGTAAAAACCCCACCATTCATGTTCAGACTTTAGTTGTATTAGGCAACCACCTAATACAGGTATTAGGTAGTTGCCTAATACAACTCTATAATACAGGTACTATAGTTGTATTAGTTGCCTAATACAAATATGTAATACAGGTATTATAGTTGTCTATAGTTGTATTAGTTGCCTAATACAACTCTATAATACAGGTATTACAGTTGTATATAGTTGTATTGGTTGCCTTATACAGCTATATAATACAGGTATTCCCCTCCAAATCAGAAGAGCAGGAAAAAGCAAATTAATCTCAGATAAAAATACATAAATCCAGAGATGTACAACAAATTCTACTCATATTTCAATCTTAACCCTCAAGAGGACATTGTAACTATCCAAAAGCACAGCTGTAAAGGTAAGAAATGCAAAGCCATGGTTCTGTTCTCATCCCAGCACCTGCCCTGTGCTCCCCAGCAGGGTCAGTGTTGTGCTGTGAAGGAGGAAGGTGCCTCATCTGCCCACAAATCCACAGACAGGTAGCCATGAGAACAGCGTGCCACCAAACACAAATGAACCTGCCTTGTCCTTTACTGCAACCACTCTGGGACCTCAGATGGCACCTGGCCTCCTTCCAAGGACAGGGATGGCTCTTGCAGAATCAATAGGGAAAAACCCCTGCTCCTTCCATTACCATCTCCCAGCAGTGTTATTTTTGGACTCTAGAGAGCCTTGGTAATCTCCCCTCTCTCACCTCACCCTGCTACATCCCTTGCATTGCAGTTCCTGTTCCTGCCCATTCCTTGGAGATTGCTTAAAAACGACTTTTCAGAAGTGCAGTTGCTAAAATCAACAAGAACTTCCCCCAGGCAGAGCTTGAAAGAGCCCAACCATCCAGTTCCCAAAGTGTCCAGGCAAGAACCAGTTCCTGGGCACAGGAAGCCATTCCAGGAGGAACATCAAAAGTAAAATAACCAAAACCTGATGGTCCAGGCTGTCCCCAGGGGCTGCCCCAGTCAGGACCCAGTGCAGTCAGTGAGGGGGGCACTCAGAAGTGGATTTACAGACACAAATTCCATTTACTATTAACACCCTTCAGGAAGCAAAGCTGTCACAGGTTCCTAGCTTTCACTGGGGATATAAAGATCCTAAAAGGTAATTTCTTGAAGTAACGTTTTTTTTACCACTTGTGGCATGGAGGGTTTCCATCACAAAAACACACTCACTTCTGTCACAACACCAGGAATCCGGCTGGATTTGAGGACAGCTCAGAATGTTTTTTTTCTGCACATTGTATTGTTGCTTGTTAATGTTTTGAAATGATACAGCAAAAGGGGAGCTGCCAAATTTGCTGGTCCCAAGACAGAAAGGACAGCTGCAATTAAGCTTATTTCTTTTTATTACCTTGTGCTTTCTCGGATATCAAATTTAAACTCGACTGGGAAGGCAGGGGAACATATAGCCCCAAAATGGCATTTTTAAATCAAATTAATGATAAATGGTTTAATGTGCTATTGATTATATAATAGAAATGAGCAGGTTCATTTTTCATAAATGCCATGTTCAATAAAATGTTAGATTGGGCATTTCATCATCACTGAGTAGTTTGGGTCATTGGTTCAATATTCCACGAGCAACAGCCTCTTCAAAACCACTAAAGAAACCCTGCCATCATTTTTAGGCTGCCAGGAAATGCAGTCACAAATAACAGCATGTAAGTTACATTTTTATTACCAAAACTCTGGTCAACATTGAAAGGTCTCATTTAAGGTCCCAAACACAGCACCGTGTTTTTAGCAGGCTAACGTGTCTGAAAGATGAATCATTCACACACACACAGAGCAATTCCTGCACACAGGATCCTGCCTCCATGGGGTCACTGCAGCTCCAGGCCCAGCTGCCACATCACCCTGTGCTCATCACTTCCACTGCAGGACAGTACTGCTGAAAATAATTAGCAACAATTAACAAAGCACCCGCTCCTTCTGTTGGAATTACTCCCTTGCAGACCCCTTTGATTCAGTTTCCAGCTCCCTGCTGTACAAAACCTGAATGTCCTGCTAAGTTAACCATTAAACCTTCCCCAGCAGTCACAACCCCTGCGTGGTTCCCAGCTCTGTTTTAACCTCTGCACGCTGCTGACGTTTTGGAGGGGAATTACGAAAGCTCCCAAGGAATGTACAAGCATGGCCTTGCTGGCTTTAAACCAGACAAGGGCTTGTTTTTTTTTTTTAAAAGGAGCTCAGCATCAGAGAGTTCTGCAAACAGCGTGACCATCACACGCTGTTCCTTCAGGAATGCAGCTGATTCCTACACACGAGCACAGGGGACTGTCCCTGCAGCTCAGGGGCTGACAGGAGCTCCAAAGGGAATTCTTCCAAGCTCTCAGACTGAATCGCTTCCAAGTCTGGATATCCTATTGCACGGAGCAGGGGTGGTTCAATACGAGCCCTGTCCAGCTACAATGGCCACACCCAGGCTGATGGACTGGATAGGCTTTTTATACATATTTATACGCATACAAATACATATAATATTGCAGCTGCACTCGCTGAAACAGACTACAGAACAGTTTCTACATCCAGATCTTTGTAGATCTGCCTAATAATAACCATAAAAAAAGCAGTTATCTCCCAATAATTCCAAACTGTTCCAGTGCAACAAACTCGCACCACTAAATATCCATCTATTCTTAAAAGTGAAATCAAGGATTCTGGATCCTTTTTTTGCCGGGATAAACGTTTAGCAGAAATCCCTGGCTGTTTCCAAACTGGAGAGGTTCGGGAAGCCTCTCCAGCCGTGCCCCAGGGGACGCGGGTGTGCGCGGCGTGCGCGGAGCTGCACCAGGAGCGCCCCGGCAGCGCCCTGACGGCCGCAATTCGGAGCAAACCCCGCATTTCCCGGCCTCAGCGGGCGCTCCCCCGTCTCACCCAACCGGGAGGGCCCGGCCCGAGCTCTCCCGCCCCGCCGCCGCCAGCAGCAGCGGCAGCGGCAGCCCGGCCCGTGCGGAGGACACGCCGCAGGGGCGCCGCTCCCGCCGGGCGCACACGAGGGTCTGGCCTCACCCCGCCCGGCCCCGCGCGGCCCCGCGCGGCCCCGCGGCCGCACCTCACGGCGCACGTTCAGCAGCCCGTAGTAGTCCTCGTTGTCCGGCGCCTCCTCGCCCAAGGCCGCCGCCATCGTCCCGACCTCTCACCCCGCGCCGCGCGCTGCGGCGCCCCCTGGCGGCCCGGCGGTCCGGCCGCCCGCGCACGCGCGATGGCGCCGCCCCCGTCCTGCCCGTTCCCCCCGCGCCCGCGCGGCCCCGGCGTGTGCGCGTGCGTGTGCGCGGCGCGCGAGCCGGGAGGCGGCGGCGGCGGAGGCGGCGAGGGGTGAGTGAGGGAGGGACTGAGGGACAGAGAGAGCGAGGGAGGGAGCGAGCGCGGACCGGCACCGGCACCGACTGGCACCGGCCTGCCCTGCCGCGCTCCGCTCCGGCCACGTCCCCCTGGTTCTTCGCCCCGGCACTCTGATGCGTCTTTGCTGGCGCGGTCGCTCCGTACCCCAGCGGCGGCTGTGGCGGTGTCGTGGGTGCCCAGGGCCTCCGTTCGCCCCGCTCCCGGGGGATAGCGGGAGGGAGGGCGATCGCGACCGCCGGTGCCCGTGATAGGTTCCTCTGCCGGTGCCCCTCCCCAGTTCCTCTCCCGGTGCCCGTCCCCGGTTCCTCTCCCGGTGCCCGTCTCGGTTCCTCTCCCGGTGCCCGTCTCGGTGCCGCAGGGCCCTCGGTCCCTGCCTAAAGCGCAGTCGCTCACTCCGGTCATTGACGGGACGTGTCGGTGCAGGCGCTGCCCCGAGGCCTCTCTCCCCGGTAACAAGAGGGCGATTTCCAAGCCATGCTGTCACCATCCCGTCGCTGTTCCGTGCGTCGCTATTCCCGGCTCCGGCGGGGCTGGCGGAGGCAGCGGGGCAGCCCGGTACAGCGGAGGGTCCCGGGGCAGAGCTGCACGGCGCCGGAGGCGAGCCCAGCTGAGCTCAGCGATGTCAGACCCGCGGCAAGGGCACACCGTGGGCAGAGCGTGTGCGGGTTTGTCGCCGGCAAATCTGGAGCAGTTTCCCTTGGATCAATAGCGCTGCTTTGCCTTTTGGCGTTGAGAACCTCAGTGAGCTCTGGGGTTCACGCTGTGCTGCCCTCCCTGATGGTGGGTGAACTCCCCAGGCCCGAGCAGTACCGACATGGAAGGGAAATGCCCCGAAGTGTGCAGAGCTCAGAGATTTTAGCAATAGGGCTGCCCAGCTTTAGACCTAAACCTCCTTTAAAGCATGCTGGTGGACAGACAGATTGGGTATTAATGCTGTGATAAGGCTGTCAGGAAGAAAAATAAGCCCAATGGCTGGATCTGATATGTGTGTGGGGATGCTGGAGTGGGTTTTGGGTACTGCTGTCTGTAAAGAGGAGTGTTTGAAAAACCACTCATTGACACCAGTGCAGGGAACCACATTCCCATTTCAAAACTCAGCTCGTCTGCTTTGGATTTTATCTTCATGTGACTTTTATTTGAAAACAGGAATGTTTTAATAATTAATAAGTTTTTTTTCTGATACAAGGGTAGTTAACAAGGAAATATTGATTATGTTATAGCAGTTCCTCTGCACTCCTGGTGAGTGAGGTGCAATGCTTGGAACAAGAGGTGCACAAAGGCTCCCTTTCTGAGAAACCATGTGGAAATGGGTCTGTTCTGCAGGGAAGCACCTCTAGCACTGCTTTTCCTCAATGAACCCACCTGCTAGACAGGTTTTTTTTTTTTTCCTCCACGTGGTTTAGGAGTCATTGAGTCTGTGCAAGAAGGAGATTAGAGTTGTGAGGATGCCAGTTGCCATGGCAACTCTATTTCCCATGGATTTTGGTCCTGTCATAATTATGCTCTTTTTCTAACAGATTTGGGAGCTCTGTGATCCTTGGGGATGATTAGTGACAGAGTTACTGGGGATCCTTCCCCTCACCAGATTGATCTGACGCTTTCCTGAAAGACCCAGCTGCTTGTTGCCAACGCTGGCTGCTGTTCCCTTGCATCACAGATGATTCAGGGGAATTTTCTGGGAACGTTCCACAGGTGTCACATCTTGGCAGGGAAATATAGGAAGAGAGAAATACGAGTTTAGGGAGCTAAATATGAACTGTGCTTTCTAAGGATGTAGAGAGAGCTCTTTGAAACCCTGCATTATAACAGAGGAAATGTGACATCTATGGCAAAAAGCAATCTGATGGGAAAAAGAAAAAGGAAGAAAAAAAGGAAAAGTGCTTGTTTGTGTTTTCCCACTTGCCAAGGCTTGGCTTGGGGTGCAATATTCATTATTGATTCCTCTTCCCACATTGGTACTTGCAGGCGGAAGCTTTGTGGTGCTGTGTGGGGCACAATCCTTGCAGCAAGAGAAGCAGACCCAGGACTCAGGTTTAGCTAGATATGGTTTGTCAGACCTGTGACACTGTGGCTGCTGCTTCAGTGCTCTCTAGTAAGCTGTGAGTAGCCTCACTAGTGGTGGTAGAGCCAGAGATAGCAGAGGGGACACTGAGGGATCCAGTGTAGCAGATTCTCTCACTGACTGCCATCACAGACTCAGCCCTGGGAACCTGTCCCCTCACAGACTGGGCTTGGTAATATTAACTTTAGTTCCATCACAGCTCAATGGAGGGAAAAACTAGAAAGTGCCATAAATCCAGCTGAGCTTGTCAAAGCTGTCAAATTACCCCCTGACAAAGCTCCTGCCTGTAATGGCTGCAGCATCAGCTGGAGGGGATGGCTGTGATGGGGTGACAGCACCAGGGCTCAGCACTGTTACACTTGTGATCTACTGTCACCAGGGGCTCCTGGGCACCACTCGAGGGTGATGCTCTGAGCAGAGTTAGTTTGTAAAAAAATACCTAAAAATATAAAGGTGTAGACCAGCATCCTGCCCTCTGTTCTCAGCCAGAGTAATGCTGACTGCTGAATTCTAGTAAAGGTGTTTCCTGGCCCCATTTGTTAGTATTAGGAGTCCAGAGAGATAATGTCTTTGCACATATAAAAGGTGCTATTGATTTCCTGTTACTGTTGTCCTGAAATGTGCACGGGGTGTCTATGGAGCAGTGACAATCCTCCATCACTAGCTTTATGGGAAAAGAATGCTTATTGAATCTCTTCCCATACAATATAATCTCCCTCTCCCTTCCAGAATTTGCCGGCCCCTGTGGGAGTCCCTTATGTTATGTCTTTGAGAAAATTGATTTTTTTTCCCTCTTTTTTTTTGTCTCTGCTTTGTACACTTGTGTTTAGTCTTATTTTTAATTTGGCTCGTGTGATGTGAAGGCTTCCCTAACATTAAACATACTTGCTTAGTCTTGTATCGCTTCTCTCTCATATAGATTAACACTTTCAGAATGTTTTAAAGTAAAATAAAGATATTTGCCTGGCACAAGTCTCTCTTGTTGTTGTGGGAATTTTTTTTAGTCTGAGCAAGTCATTGCCCTGCTCCTTCTCTCCAGACAGGGCTGAGGCACTGACAGCTTTTCAGCTGTTTACAGGTAAATTTGGGGTAAGTTTCTGGAGTGAGCACACTGATTGATCATGGCTGAATGACACCATAGCCCAGAGCACAACTTGCAGTGTTGTCTGCTCAAGAAGCAAGGTGATCTTTGAACTTTAACAGTGGCAAAAATACTGTCAGATTTGTCCTTTCCTCTGTGTAGCAAATGACTGACTATGGGATTTTTCCTTTCAGGGAGGAAACGGCAACATGAATTCATAGATGATGAGTAGGATGCCAAAGCCAGAGATGACAGTGCTCTTGAAGAAATGCTGGGTAGAACAAAAAGGTAAAAGGAACAGCTAATTGAGTGCATTTCAGAGCCTGTGGGACTTTGTGGGGTACCTTTCCTCACGAGGCACACGGCACACCCCCTCAAACCAGGGCTCAGTGTTCTGAATTCCCTCCTCCTCTGTTTTGCATGAAGTCCCAGTGCCGCCTCTCACTCCTGACCTGCTCTCTCTTCGCTCGGGTTTTCCCCAAAGTTGTGTCATGATGTATCTACAACCCACACAGCTCATCCTTCCCACCCTGTCCCTGCATGTGTGCCCTGGTAGATGCAGCAGTTCTCCCTGCCCCACCAGTTACTCCACACCTCTGCTGCTGTGGTTGTGCTGAGGGCAAAACCAGCAATGAGACTGCACTGGACCAGTCCATTTGCAGGCAGTGTGATGCTCAGAGGGTTGGTCAGCCAGCCATGGGCTGTCCTGCTGTGGCCATGGCCCAGGCAGGTGCACAGGCTGCAGTGTGGGGAGTGTTCTACACTCAGGTGCCACCGACAGGGCTGAATCGCTCTCTGCCACTCTGCTGCCTTTACTGCATTTTGTGATAATGCCGTAGAGATGCCCAGAGGAAACACTTCTTATTGGCTCTTTGATTCTGTGAAATTCTCTCTGTGATGGAGGTGTGATAGTCTACCTGGGGACTTGGGGAGGGAAGAGGCAGATTTAGTCATACCTGCAGAGCACCACGCAGTAGAAAGGCCTTGTTATGCAGCAGAAGTGGCTGAAGCAACTGATGGGGTGCAAGAAAATCTTCATTAGTCATGTAGCTCTCCTTGGGATATTTTCATGCTTGTTTGTGCAGGCTGGCTTAAATCTCCCAAAAGTCAGAAGCAAATATTCTCCCTGCAAGCATTCCAGGTTTGCAGTGATGATTTATCTGCCTGTTGCCCCTGCCTCTCGTCTCAAACAGCAGCTGTGTGGGACCCAGGGTTTCTGGGGCAAGCAGAGGATCTTGTCAGTACTGTGTAATGGATTGAGAGATATATATATATGTAAGAGTTTCTGCTGGAAATGTTGTTTTCAAAACAGCAATCAGGGAGGAATTACCTGTAGTTCAGGTGTTTGTGCCATTTGGCCAACCAGAGCTCTTAGTCTGCTTGGAGCCTTCCAGCCTGATATGACAAGAGCCTGTCATGGACAGAGATCTTTGCTCTGCCTGTGTTCAAAATATCTGCTGAATATACTCTGAAACACTGGTGGACTGTTTTGGAATGGTCCTAACTTGTATAAACTGTCCTGCAGTTCAAATCCATTGTTATATAATTTTTAGTTTAATAGCAACAGAGAGGAGAATTTAAGGATACCAAAAATAGTAATTAGCAAGTTTCTGTTGTTGTCAATTCATATTTTGGGAGATTTGATAGTT